AAGTGAACCTTTCTTAAATCAATCTTTTCTTCTTTCACTTCTTTGGGTGTTGCGAATCTTTGCATTACTCGAACCTCTGCTAACCAGCGTGCACCTCCCGCACACCAGCTCCGGCGGTGCCGCGCCCCTGCCCCTCCATCCATCCACCCTCACCCTATCCATTCCCTGACACAGACCTGTGGGAGAGGGTGCAGCTGTGGCCCTGTCTGCTGAGACACTGGAGGTTGGAGCTGGAGATCAGAGGGTGTCATCTCCACCAGCTAGGACACCCCCGCTGGGAAGCCCCTGGGATGTTGCCTGCTGGAGCACCAGCTACACTGGCTGGGAGGTGGGCGGGGGGAAGCTGCTGGGCCCTCCCTCAATTCCCTCGAGGCCACTGAAGCATGTTAGGGCTGAGTGTCACTGGGTGTCCCCCATGCCACGGGCCCGCCCCGACACAATGTGGAAGAGGAAAAAGAAAACACCCCAGATGCGGGGAGAGAAGCTCTGTGCTCCCATAACTCCCTCCGTGTGCCAGTCGGCAAAGTGGTTAAAAGGTCCAGCTCAGGTTGGCGCAGTGGCTCATACCTGCCATCCCAGCACTTTGGGAGGCCGAGGCGGGAGGATCACTTGAGTCTAGGAGATCCTATTTCTAAAAAAAAAAAAAAATTAGCCAGGCCTGGTGATGGACGATTGTAGTCCCAGCTACTTGGGAGGCTGAGGCAGAAGGATCGCCTGAATCCAACAGGTTGAGGCTGCGGTAAACCATGGTCCTGCCACTGCACTCCAGCCTGGGCATGAATGAGAGTCTGACGGAAAAAAATAAAAGGCCCAGGTCCAGTGTCAAAAAGCACTGCTGGGGGGGGGGGGGAGGGCACACCTCATCAACAAGCGTACCTGCAAAATGAACATTTGTATACCTAACCCTGAATTGTACCCCACATCTTTAAAATAAAAAATTTAAAATTAAAAAGCAGAGCAATAAAAGGTGGACTTGGAGCTAATAAATTGGTAACAAATCACTGGCACAAGGTTCAGTGTGACTCACTGCCCAGAACAAAGGCTCAGACATGGAACCCTTGTTCAGGAAACATTTACTGAGTCAGTACCAGGACAGGGTGGATGGGTCGGCATCTGAGACTCCCTCTATGGGTACTGCGCACCGCCAGGACACCACCTACTTCCAAATGTCTCAGTAAGAGGAGAGAGGACAAGGGACGCCTCTTACATTTGCCCAGCAGACATTCGATCGTGTTTTTGGGGGATGTTAGGGCATCGAGGCTAATAGGAGTTTGTACTGACCCAAGAAGGAGGAAAATTCAGATCCAAGATGGCCAGAGCAAAAACTGACATGGAAAGCCAACTGAGAGTGGGTGAGCCTCAGGGACATGCAGATGAGGTACTCATGTGAGGACTTCCTTGCAGTTCTTGCAATCCTTGTGACAGCCCTCCTGGCTTGCATGCCTGTGAAATGTTTTGAGATCCCCTGTTAAGAAGTATCACTTTAGGCCAGGCTCAGTGGCTCAGCCTATAATCCCAGCACTTTGGGAGGAACAGACTGCCCTGGGCAACTTGGCAAGACCTCATCTTTACATTTAAAAAAAAAAAAAACATTAGCTGGGCATGGTAGCGTGTGCCTGTAGTTCTGGTTACTAGCAAGGCTGAGGTGGAAGGATTGCAAGAGCCCAGCAGGGGTGACAGAGTGAGACGCCAACTCAAAAAAAAAGTATCACTTTGAGGCTGGGTGTGGCAACTCACACCTATAATCCCACCACTTTGGGAGGTCAAGGTGAGAGGATTGCCTGTGCCCACGAGTTCGAGACCAGCCTGGGGAACTTAGTGAAACCTCATCTCCACAATAAATAAATAAAAAAACGTAGCCAGGTGTGGTGGCACATGCCTGTGGTTCCAGCTACTTGGAAGGCTGAGGCAGAAGGATCACTCGAGCCCAGCAGGTCGAGGCTGTGGTGGCTGTGCTGCTGCACTCCAGCCTGAGTGACAGAGTGAGACTTCAGCTCAAATAAGTAAACAAATAAAATTAAAAAGAAGTATCACTTATTTCAGTAGGCTGAAAAAGCATCTTCCACCTGCACACACCTGAAAACATACCTGTGTAACACAGGAGGATCATGGTTATGTAATCATAGAATTTGACTATTACTGTTCAGAGAAATGCAATCATGGATTGTAAGTCAGCCATGATGCTAACATTTTTCAGTTGACTGTATTCATGCTGTCATGTTTCCAACAATAACTGCTAATAGACAATAATCGGAAAATAAATGCCATTTCAGAGGTTTTACCAAGTGCCGTGGGATCTTTATGGGATGAAACGATGGAGGAGGAATTTCAAAAAAGACTGACATTATCAAGAAGTTATTCCCTTCCCCCCCAAAATCAGTTCCACTTAAGATGTCCCACACTTGAGTTAATCATTCAAGGCTGCTGAATTCAGCATTTACAAGATGACAAATTAAGAACAGATGTAATTCCAGCTACTCGGAAGGCTGAGGCGGAAGGATCACCGGAGCCTAGCAGGTCGAGGCTGCAGTGGCACTGCACTCCAGTATGGGCGACAGAGTGAGACTCTAACTCAAAAAAAAAAAAAAAAAAAATTAAGACCAGAACCAATGAACGCCCATCAGTCGGCTGGTATTACCAGCAAGAATCGGCCAACTGGTCAGTGTTATTGAAAGCCTCAAAATGTATAAACGTGCCAGTGTTGGGTCTTCATCTCCATAAACCAAAAACGTTCTGCTCATAAAGAACAACTTTTAGGGAAGAGAATTAAGTGAATATCATCATTTCCCTCCAAATTTCTTTCACTTTTTTTTAGAAAGCAGGATTTATTAAGCGGACCGAAAAGCTCCCACAGTGGGAGGGGACCGAAGGGGGTCACCCATTTCTCATTTTTGAATCGGGGTCTCATTCTGTTGCCCAGGCTGGAGTGCAGTGGCACAGTCACGGCTCACTGCAACCTCAACCTTCTGGGCTCAGGGGATTCTTCCACCTCAGCCTCCCGAGTAGCTGGAACTACAGATGCGCACCATCATGCCCAGCTTATTTTTGTAGAGATGGAGTTTTGTTATGCTGCCTAGGCTGATCTCAAATTCTGGGGCTCAAGCAATTCTCCCACCTTAGCCTCCCAAAGTGCTGGGATTACAGGTGTGAGCCACTGTGCCTGGCCTCACCTTTTAAGTAAACAAAACCAAAACAGCTACTGACTTTGAGAAACTCTCAGGAACTTAGTTTACTATACGATACTATTCATTCCCAAATAGTATACACCTAGTCACAGCTTTAAAAAATTCAGTAAGTAGCTGGGCTCGGTGGCTCAGCCGGTAATCCCAGCGCTTTGGGAGGCTGAGGCGAATGGATTGCCTGAACCCGTGGGTTCGAGACCCGCTTGGGCAACTTGGCAAGACCTCATCTCTACAATAAATCAAAAAATTAGCTGGGTGTGGTAGCGTGTGCCTGTAGTTCCAGCTACTTGGAAGGCTGAGGTGGAAGGATCGCCGGAGCCCAGCAGGTCGAGGCTGCGGTGGCCGCAAGCGGCCACTGCACTCCAGTCTGGGCAACAGAGTGAGACTCCAACTCAAAAAAAAAAAGAAAATCAGTAAGTAAACCAAACAGTCCTAGAGTTGTTTGAAACTGCACACAAATTTCAGGGTACTTTTATTTTCTAGACAAAACCATAGCTTTCATCAGATTCCCCAAAATGGGCCCAGAACTCAAAGGGCAAGAATCATTGTCTTAGGAGCTGAGAAACGAAGCCAGAGTTAGAGATTATAAACTGGGCAGCATTAACATGGACAATTTATATTAAAATGCTCACAGGCTAGGTGATATAGTAGCCCATGGATAGAACTGCAAGTTAACATGAGAAAAACAAAGGCAAAGGTATTGACACGCAGAAAGGTGAAATCATTTCACTAAGTTGAGCACAAACACTGGAGGGAAGCTGCTTGCTACTAACCAGGCTCAATGAAAGGCTTTTCAAGATTTCTCATGTAAGTAATGACCCTGAGATGTTTCATAGCCCCTTGCTCTCCCAGCCTCTTAGAAAGCTACTGTCCTAATAATCATGCATCTATTTGGCATTAACCAGAATTATTTACATCTACTAAAATCTTCCCAAAAAGCAAACCTACATTAAAAATATTAAGAAATCAAATGCATCTTGTGATAGTACTTTTACCTCTACTGGAAATTCTCCATTTTATCTAAAATATATCACTGAGCCGGGCTCGGTGGCTCTGCCTGTAATCCCACGCCTTGGGAGGCTGAGGTGAGTGGATTGCCTGAGCCCGCGGGTTCGAGACCCGCCTGGGCAACTTGGCGAGAACTCATCTCTACAATAAATCAAAAAATCAGCTGGGCGTGGTAGCACACGCCTGTAATTCCGGCTACTCGGAAGGTTGAGGTGGAAGGCTCGTCGGAGCGCAGCAGGTCAAGGTGATAGAGTGAGACTCCAACTCAAAAAAAAAAAAAAAAAATTAAAAAGTTAAATAAAAATAAAATATATCACGGAATTAACTTTTTGTAGTTGGAGTCTCACTCTGTCACCCAGACTGGAGTGCAGTGATACGCTCATGGCCACCACAGCCTCGACTTGCTGGGCTCAGGCGATCCTTCCACCTCAGCCTTCTAAGTAGTTGGGTCTACAAGCACATAGCACTAAGGCCAGCTATCTCTTGATTTATTGTAGAGATAAGGCCTCACCAAGTTGCCCAGGCTGGTTTTGGACCCCTGGGCTCAGGCAATCCTTGCCTCGACCTCCCAAAGTGCTGGAATTATAGGTGTGAACCACCATGCCTGGCCAGAATTAACCAAGTGGAACTATATCCAATGGAGTAGCACCATAATTTAGGTATGTTTGAAAAACACACTCTAGATGCAGGATGAGTCTACTGGTTTTGATTATGCAAGTTTTTGTTAACTTCCAGGTGGCTGCAGTGCTAATTCACTTGATAATTAAAAGGTAATTGAATCTTCTACTAACAACAACAAAAAGCATGCCATTTTCATAGAGGAACTCCTTCATTTAATGAGATTTTTCTGCAATGAGGTGGGTACAAATGTGAGGCCTACAGATGGAGGACTCTCGTAGGTGCACTCGTAGCTCCATTTTCCCTTTGCAAGGTGGCTGTGTCACTGTCAGCTGGCCAATACAACCAGTGAGAGAAAACACATGTCAATGTGTAAGCCAGGAAGATCACTATGCTGTCAGACCACTCTCTAGCCCTAGCACTAACGAAACATATCACTCTGGGTGTCTATTTTCTGTTCTGAAAAGAATTGGATGAGTTATCCTATAAAATTTCCTTCGAGTCCAAATTTTAAATGAAACCAACAGTCCAAGTGGAAAAGCCTTTGATGTGGAACAAATGATTCAATCAGATCACCCTAGTGACACATAGAACATTCACTGACAAAGGGAACTGCCATTATTAAGAATTCTAGTAAGGATTATTGATTAGCACACATATCCAATTCCAGTGTACAAAATTCACTTGTCACCTGGGCACTAAGATAGCCCTCTACACAAAGCATGATGCTACTGACATCTTATCAATTTCTACAATTAAAATACTTTAAAAAAATGTTAACCAATGGGGGAAAAGCCAACACCCAGGATAAAGGATTTAATCCAGTATTTATTCCACACTCATGATGGTTCTCTGTAATCAGAATACAGTCATAAGAACATCAATTAATTGGCTGATAGTCTTAAATAATGCAGCATAGCATTACTTTTAATACTTCTCTGTTCTAGATTAAATTTAAAAACTTAAACAGCGATCTCCATTATCAATAAAAAAAGTTCTGAATTTTAAAAAAAGGACACTATATCAAGCTGTTCCAGAATGTAAGTATTTTTCCATTTATAAAAAGGCTTTGGAAGCTTGAGGCTTAAATCCGATTCTCTGCTCAGCCGCTCCACCCTCTCCCAATTACACGTTAGTCCAGGGGTCTGCAACGGCGCTAGGCTTTACACATTTTCTTCTTTAATATAGTACTTTAAAATCTGAGGAAGAATTCAAGAAAAACAAGATTACACGTCATGTGTTGTTTTTCAAATAAAAAAGCTAGTGGACAAATTTTAGGCATACTAACAGTGTCCCTTTGAGGTAGAATGCTAAAAGGACTTTTTGACCAAATCACAGCCTAATTTAAACCTCTGCACCACAAACTAAATTCTCTCTAAAGGTAACTGTGGAGAATACTGAGTAGAACATGTGAACAAGAGCCTTCCAAGATAATATACAGTGGACACGAATGTTAATCCTGCAACTGCTGCCCTCATGTACATCGACAGCACGTAATTCTCCTGTAAGAGACACCCAAGATCCATTCTCAAAGTCTTCAGCATTCTATTACGAAAAGCACAGCCATGCTAACTTCAGTACACAAACCCTAATCCCACACCTACAAAACAAAAATAGAATTAGTGGCAGTTTATTGCCTTATACAAATTTAACCAACATGGCAACCATGCCAAAGGAATTAAAACATTTTCAGGACATATGTACAGACTGTACATCTCAAAAACAACAATAAGAATGCAAGAACAATCTGTGCATCATGTATCAAACTCAACAACTGGGTGAAAACATCAATGCATCAATGGGATTACAAAGGCACTTCCCTACACAAAAGAGGAAATGAAATGCAGCCTACAGGGAGCTCGAGGAGTGCGGAACTACTGCACAATCTCAACTCGGAAAGAAAAGCAGATTTAATCAAACATGGATAGGATTCAATGTGATCCACTTTTACAAAAATGTTCACACAGTCTCATCTTTGTTTTTATGTTGTTTTTCTTGGCTTTCTCGCTCTGGACTTTGGCTCCTCCGGCGATCATGTTTGTCTGACTGGTCCTTACCATCACTGTGATCGCGCCTGTGGGAACGTTCTTTACTCCCACTGCGCTTTCTGGACTTCTCTCTGCTGGGGCTGTGTTCCCGCTTTTTGGCCTTTTCAGCACTGTCAGTTCTTCCTTGACTGCCGCTTCGGCTCCGTTTGCTTGCCTTTTCTTTGCTCTCGCCCTTGTGCTTGCTCGATCTCTCTCTGCTCCTGCTGCGGCTGCGCTTCCCTGCGTTTCTGCTTCTACTCCTGCTCCTGTGCTTCCTCTCTCTGCTTCTACTCCTGCTGTGCTTCTTCTCCTTCTTGGACTCCTTCTTGTCATCTCTGTGCCGCCTATCCTCCTTGTCCTCCTTATGCTTCTTCTCCTCCACCTCTCCCCTGCCTCTCTGCTCCTTGGACCTTTCCCTTGACCGGTCCCTCTCCTTCTCTCTGTCATTCCCTCTTTCCTTATCATAGTCCCGATCTCGCCTTCGACCTCTCTCGTTCTCTTTCTCTCTTTCCCGATCCCTGTCCCTTCTATCCCCTTTCCTGTCGCGACTTCGACTGCGAGTCCTGTGCCTTTCCCTGCTCCTGCTACGCCTGCGCTCTACGCCCCGATCGAGACTTCGGGACCTCCGCCTTTCTTTCTCCCTTTCTTTGGCTTCGCGCTCTAGTCGCTGGCGTTCCTTTTCTCTTTCCAATTCTCTGTCAAAACTAGAAGACCCATGGCCCTCCCGGTGATGACTTCTACTTCTTGACCTTCTGGGGGACCTCCGAGGACTCAGTGATCTCCTTGGAGACCTAAGGAAGCAGCAGAAAAAGGAAGAAGAAAATTTCAATGAACAAAATATATCGTAAAAACTTTTATCTTTTTTCACAGCAAAACTTTCATCACCATTATTTATTCAGGTCTCAGCTTAAGGACATGTCAAGAATAATTAAAGCAAAAAAATTCAATTGCTCTCATTTATAGATGCACAATTTTGTAGACAATGCCTGAAAAGGAAAATAGTAAAAACGACACACTAACATACAATAAAGAGTAAAAACAAATACCTAAGAACTTGCCAATGATTTTTTAGAACCTTTAACTCTGTATGAAACATATTTCAAAAATAAGCATAACCCCGAGCTTCAAGTCAGTGACATGTAAAAATAAATCAATAAAAAAAAGCACAATTCAATAGTGACATTACCTTGAACGTCTGCGTTCAATGTGTCTGTCTATTTCCTCAACACCTTCCTTTCCATCTTTCTTGATTTTTCTAGGTCGAGTCTTAATCTGTTGATCAATATTCTTTTGAACTGGAACTGGAATTCTTGGAAACAAGGTAGAAAACCATTCCAGTTTAGTGAGAAAAGACCGGAGCATTTCTCCAATGGTCATCACACAGCCTCCACCAGCCTTCACATCTAGGTCCTACAGAAACACAAAAGATATCCTAGCCGTCAAAAACAGACTTCAATATATAGAAGAATACTATAAAAATATTACCATCTTTGGAATCTCAAGTACAAAAAAAAAAGCTAACAAAAATTTTAATTTTTGTATCCTAATCTAGTAATAAATGATACAGAGAAATACTTGGGCTTAGTGTGTGCATGCAGGCGAGAACAAACCCTGCAGCCTCATGGGCACTGAGGGAACCGATCTCACTCAGTTAAGAGTATAAAAAGGCCTCTGACATTTCTAAACTACATGGAACAACTGACTTAAGCTGACATCCACATACCTATTATGTATTTATTGCTGTGGACATATCTGCACACATCATACCTAGCACTGTAACCTAACTACATATGAATTGCTGTAGACAATTGCTATCTAAAAGTTATCTTTTTAACAGCTCTAATATAAAATGAAGCCCTAATAAAACTGGAAGCAATAGCAAACCAACTGCCATGAAGCAGTGAGGTTTCTGATTTAGAGTTATGTAGAAAATAAATAAATGAACAAATAATTGGAAACGCATAATCCATGATGACCATTGTCTCTGAAAAGGGTCATTACCGCATGAAGGCCTTCTTGCTATGCCCTCTCACAGCTCAGGACATGTTAGTCAGCTATTGTCAGTCCCAAACCTATAGTGCAAGCACACAAGGAAAGTGAGATTTGTTATCTAAACAGGAAAACAAGAGCTATAGGTAAAACTGCTTGCACTCACACACATTTAAGTGTTCAGATATACAGTATTTCCATATATAATCGCTGCAGATATCTAAGGAAGAAAACAATAAGTTAGCTTAAATAGAGCACCTCAGGCTTGCAAACACAATAAAAAACAGATAAAATAGAGGCATTCAGAAACAAAGCTAATACAACACCAGTTACAAAGAGGGACATGCTTTTTTTAAAGACAGAGGGGAGAGGTGCTTCAGTCTGAAAAACTCATCTAAAGAGAAAAAAACTTTAGAAATTGTGATTTTTAAATATGTTTATTTCTTCTGAGTTATTAAACAGCTCAATAAACAGACAAAAAAAGGTAAAGAAAAATTTAAAAATTCTCCATAACTAAATGACTGAGAAATTTTCCAGGTGTGCACATAATAACAAAAACACAAGAGATTTCCATCAGAACCATCCTTTAATTCAACAAATTCTTTGAAAGAACTTTTAAAACAGACTACTGAAATACAGCAATCAAAGTCTGCTTTGTCAATCTGAAAATATAAAGTAGCCGTGGAGGTAGATATAGGGACAATACAGCTCATTATTGGGTACACTTTGAGACACTGGACTTCACTATGTAAGCAAATTAATATATATGATTTAAATCTAATTTAATAAAGTTTCCCGAAGTAACTAAATTTTGAATTTTAAAACATTTTGAATTTCAGATTAGGGATACTCAACTTGCAGCTTAAGGGCTTTGTTTGTGGGAATAGTGCGCCAGGAACCAGAATGCGAGAATTAAGATAGTTGTCACCTCAAACAAGTCATCCAAATTCTTAGCCTATTTAAGTACCACCCAGTTCTTCAATTCTGTACTTCTATGCAAGTGGGACTATTAATATTTGGAAGAAGTTAGACCACAAAGAACTGAAAGATTCAGAAGAAAAAAAAAGAGCTACAATTAGTATTCTACGTGCATGTCTTTCATCACCTCGATCCTGAGCACACCCATCTTAAAAGTCACTATCAATTGTACAATTCAGGCTCAAAACAAGACACAGAACATAAGCAGGAAAAGAAAAATTTCCAGTAGTTACAAACACATGTAAATAATTTAAAAACAAGAAAATAAAACTACAGAAATGTATCCTAAAATATATAAAAGCCACTAAGTCTTAGTAAAAGGACAGTAATTCCAAAATCATTTGACTGAAATAAACTTACAGAAAATTCTGGAGGGCGTTTAACCTCCAATAAATAAAAGATATTAAAAACATGAGAGCAATCAGAAGAAAACAAATTATTACCCTTGTTGACATACCTCTTCATCATCAAGGAAGGATTCGAACCAGTCCCAAAGATCTGTAGGAGGTTGTGTATATCTAGAATTGTAAAAGACTTATTAAACTTATGTGAATTAAAATGAGATACGTATTAGAAATTTAAATAAATGCATACACACCTTATATACATAAATCCAAGTGCTCTAATATAGGGAGAGTCTGTGTGTGTTATAAGACCCATCACTTGCTTTCGAGTTAACTTCAGAGTAAACAATTTGTATAACAGGCAAAAAGCTGTAGAAACAATTCCTCCAGTTCCAACACCTCGAACCTTCAGGAGAAATAGTTAAGAAAAAGCAGTAAAATAATTAACAGACACTTAACACCAACTGATGAATCCCATTAAGTATTAATGACAAGCCATTATCCAGAATAAAAATGGAGTACAATAAAACGAGAACACTTTTGCTAACCCTATTCACTGGACATTTGAATTTAGTCTTTTAAACAAATGCTTAAGATCTGCCAACAAGTTGTCATCTAGGTGTGTTACTGACAGTCCTTTAGTTTTCTAAATACAAGCTTAGTTACCAGACACAGAAAAACTGAAAAGTGCACGTACTTCTACTTACCCCTCCGCACATCCCTGTCTGGCCCGCTGTTTTCCTGCTTCCTTTCTCCCATGGCTCGACATGCGTGACCTGAAAATAGAAAAGAGGAACACAACAAACACGCATGCTTTGAATGTGTTTAAATATCTGCTTAAAGTAAACCCAAGCCCAGAACAGAGCAGCTCTTCCAAAATTATTCTGGCATTAGGTATATATTATGCTTACTGACATCAAATACGTAAATCATCGTTGGAAAAACTGCTTAGACATTTCAAGAGCACCATAAAGCTACTAGGGTTTAAGAAAAACCTCAGTAGCTTTACAGAAGAGAATCCCACCTAACTAACTTTATAAAAAGCTGGTATATATGGGGGATCGGCAAATTTCCAGTCTCGCTTGCAAAAAATATCTCACAATATTTCAACTCTGTAACTTACTATGAGTTGCTTCAAAGTAATTTCATTTAAAAATAAACTTAAGTCTCCAACTTAAGGCAAAAAATACTAATGAAATGAATTTTAAGCATTAATTTGAAAAAACTTTAAAATACTCTCAATAGTTCAATGTTACAGCAATTTAAAATCAGTGCTATAAAATAAAGGGAAATGACTCGAAAAAATGTGCTGAAACAGTAACAAGTTACTTTCGATGCAAAATTACAGACCTTTTTATTTGTACATTTTCCAATCAGGATTAGGTTTATTTCTGATTAAAGATGAAATTACAGCTGGGCATGGTGGTTCACACCTATAATCCTAGCACTTTGGGAGGCCGAGGTGAGAGGACTGTGTGGGTTCGAGACTAGCCTGGGCAACTTGGTGAGAACTCATCTCCACAATAAATAAAAAATTAGCTGGGTGTGGTGGCGCCTGCAATTCCAGCTACTTGAAAGGCTGAGGCAGAAGGATCACCTGAGCCCAGCAGGTCCAGCCTGCAGTAGCTGTGAGCATGCCACTGCACTCCAGCCTGGGCAACAGAGTGAGACTCCAACTCGAAGAAAAAAAAAGGATGAAATTACAAAGGCCACACTTAGAGGTCATTTTGTAATTCATCTTCGGCCTAATTATCTGAACCAATCCAATTTTGTCCCAGAATATAAAATGTATCAAACACGAAGTGTGAATAATCATTAATATATACTAAGTATCATCAAAGATGATAAACAGTATCATCTTTGCTAAGGGGAGCATCCTACACAAACCATTCCTTATCTAAAAAAATATATTTTTTAAATATGAAGCTTGGCTGGGTGCAGTGGCTCATTCCTGTAATCCCAGCATTTTGGGAGGCAGAGGCGGGAAGACTGCCTGAACCTAGGAGTTCAAGACCACCCTGGGCAACTTGGCAAGACCTCATCTCTACAGTAAATGAAAAATTAAGTTGGGCGTGGTAGTGCACACCTGTAGTTCCAGTTACTTGGAAGGCTGAGGTGGAAGAACCGCCTGAGCACAGCAGGTTGAGGCTGCGGTGGCCACTGCACTCCAGCCTAGGTGACAAGAGTGAGACTCCAACTCAAAAAAAAAAAAAAAAAAAAAAAAAAAAAGCTCTAAAATAGAACCCAAGAAGTTCTTTTGGAAAGACCCACATTTGTTTCTTAAAACAAACAAAAAAATCCTGTTCTTTCATTCTGTGTATTTCTAAAACTATATTTCCACCTACACATGGTAACATTTTTATAGTTCTGAAAAATGACTTTAGACAGAAAAGCATGCGTATCAATGCAAGCACTGCACTATTTTGCAGCTTTACTGTTTCCTTTCCTCCCCCCAGCTTGTTGTAAAGATGTTTTAATTCCTTAAAGGCTAGACAAAGTAAAGGGTGGATGCAATACAGAAGGGAATCACAAAGCTGGAACCCTACATATCTCAATGAGTACATGACCCAAATGTCTTGATAAGAAAACCTGGGTTGTTAGTTTTTTAACTGAATTTTGCAATAATTCCTGGTAGAATCTTACATTGTCTCGAAGCACTACATTTAAAACTTGAAAATGAGCCTTTCCTATTACATTAACACTTTGCCTGTGTTATAAAATAGAACCTGCCTGAAAAAGAGCAGGAACCCAATTTTCAACTCTTTAAAGTTTGAAGAATAAGTAAAGCTAAGGATTAAATATTATTCACCATACAGTATCCATGCTGAAAAGGTCTTACCTTTTTAAAAAGCTAAACAAGTCATTCATAAAATTATAATTAGATCTACTATAGACTCTTGAAAGAGGATACCGAATTAATTTGTGTACTTTATATACCCAAAGTTGAACTGTATTCCTCGAGATGTTTTCTATGAAAGCAACTAATATCTAAAAATCCTTCGATACCCTAATCACTTAATTGGGGAGAAAAAGTGGGCAAAACAAATAAAAGATAATGTCCTTTGGTTAACATCTCTACACATGTTCCAGCGACTTTGTGGTCTGTCAAATTTTTAAGAGTCAATATAGACAAAATGGATTATATACCAGATGCTCTAGATAAAATATTTAAAGGCTACTAAAGCTATTTCTTTATTACTATTAACATTCTTTAAAATATAAATTAAGCTTTGGAGGCCTGGAAGGTATTTTTTAAGCTACATAACTTGCTAGGAAGTGGAAAAAAGCTGTCTGATTGGTGAGGAAAAGACCAAAAGCAATGGCCCAAAAAAAAAAAATCTAACTAGCCGTTCATTTAACCAGGGAAATGCATTTATGGCGATTGAGCATGATTAATAGTGCATACCTCTACCTGCGACCCTGGGCTGCTCCGAGCCTCGCTGCAAGACTGAGTCAATCCTGCTAACGAAACAAGAACTGAGACAAGAGTGCAGTGAGGCGGCGCCAGGTGAGCTCCCCAGCGCAGCCAAGCCAGCACCGACCCTGCCGCAGAAGCCCAGGGCCCAGATAAGTCGGAAGAAGCCCAACGCACAGGTGGCTGAGACCTCTCGCTCCTGACTTCCTGCTGGGAGACTTTCCAGGCCTGCTGTACACCTTCTGCCCTGGCAGCTCTCCCCCCGCGGCCCTCCCGGCCCGCCCGGCACACACGCACTGGCCACCTCCCTGTCTGGATCCGACCGTGAGTACCAACAACACGCGGCCGACACTGAAGTCGCTACTCGCCCTGGCCCGGGGTGGGCGGGAGAAGCACCAACAAGTTGGCGCCGAGGGGATCCTCGTCAAAGGGAATCATTTTGGCGCTGGAGACTGGAGAGGCTTCCGTGACTCCCTCTCCTCTCCCCCACCCCCTAGCCCTACTCCCCCCGGGGGTAGGCAGGAGGTGGGGGGAGGAAAAGAGATCAACAGTGGCGGGCTCTCCCGGCCCTGAAAATCTGCAAAGGAAACGGGAGGGCGGCCCCAGTCAGACCCCTCCCTGAGACTCCAGGCCGCAGCGCCCCCCCCACCCCGTGCTCACTTC